GTGCGCGCAGTGAAGAATTAGATATCTAGTTGGACTATTATCGTGAGGATCAAAGTGGACTTAGTAATTGATGAAACCTGCTAATGCCTGAAGTATTTTAAGAATTCCAACCATCCCCAGCTGACACTTGTCCAGGATCAGAGCTTTTACACAGCATTGAGGATTCACAAGCAAGGATGCTAATGCATTGCTACCCTGTGTCCATAATTTCCAGTCAAGTTTCAAGTTACAAAGTCAAGAGAAAAACATTCTTTAACACAAAGTGGATGGTGCTTAATGAAAAGACTAGAATGCAAATTGCAAAACCACGCGGTGAATAAATTTTTCTGGTGTATATATATAGAATTAGAAATGAAGTAAAGCTAACGGAAGCCTCAAAAGACTTAACAAAATGGAAAGAAAAGAAAAGAAAAAGAAGCCAACAAAAGAATGGATAATTGGCAAGATCAAAAAGCAGCCATAATCAAGAATCACGCTCTTCTCAGCAAGAGCATCTCTAAAGGGCATGCTGTCATAAACAGATAGAGGGCAAACCTCTTGAATTATAGGATTTCCTCCAAGGTTCAGCTCCATAATGCTGCTGAGCAGAGTAACATCTGCACTAAGTTTATGAATATATGAGGACGTTATTCCACAATATGACATGTCAAGTTTCATAGACTCCTGAGTTGCAGTGGATAACGATTCAGATAATTGTAATGCCCCTTCCTAAAAATCACGTTAAAAGTGATCATTTGAAGCAAGAGAAGAATGTTAATGTGCTCAAAGTTCCTGATAATGCAAGTCACAATATATATAATGACAAAAATATCACTCACATTTCCTATACCAGTTCCCCTAAGCATCAATCGAGATAAAGATGAGGTTTTAGCAAGTTGGCAAAGGCCATCAATTACGGGCTTGCTTGACTTTAAACCACTCAGACTCAGTTCTGAAAAACTAAATTCAAAAAAAAAAAAAAAAGTCATGCCTGCATGATGTATTTCATTTATAAAATGACAAAATAAAGAGTTAAAAAGGAAGATGCTTTATATTTATTTAAACCTTTTCAATGTAGCAAGTTTGTCCAATAAATTGCCGATAACTTTCCCAGAAATAGGATTGTTATAACCTGCCAAGAAAGCAAGAGTTAGAGAACTCTAAAGCCAAAAATAAAGAACAAATTGAGAATGGTCAATGATTTGCCAAGAATACCTATAAAGAGTTGTGATAGCACGGACCCAGTATCCAGTGTATCAGCAACCTTTTGAATTGTCCTAGAAGTGATGGAACAGTGCTCTACATTCAAGCTATAGAGAGCTGAGAAGCAAAGAGATATTGATTAAAACAGCATTAAACCCAAATAAATTGGGCAAAAACTTAACTAAAACTCATAGTACCCACCAAATTATAGTGAAAGCGTTGTACCTTTACAATTTTCTAGGATAGTTAAAAGGTATGATCCACATCCATCAGTGAGACGATTTCCAGAGATATCAAGTACTTCAAGTCGAGTGAACAGAACAGGGCACTCACAAATCTGATGATGATTAGGAATGTAAAATATAGAAAGTAGCCAAAGCATTGTGCTTTGCAGTTATGATCGACAAAGAATGTGAACATTAACTAATGTGAACAATCTCAGCATTCCAAAGGACTTCTAGAAACACCTGATACAATCATACAAACATACATAACAAGCCTAGCAGCAGTTTTTAAAGTAAATAAATAAATCACTAGACAAGAGATATCATGTGTGCATTCAAATATAACTTAAACTCCCATGCACTAACAAAATGGTCTACTGAAAAGAAAAGGATGTTGTATCTTTTTGAATAAAGGGACACTGGAACTGAATGAATACAAAAATATTAACAATCATGAGCTGCAGAAATAATAATGATTGGCTGTAACATAGGTTCCCAACCTGAAACAATGCAGTAGGACCAAATCGATTGCAGTGCAAGTCCAAAGTCAAGTCACCATATTTTTGGCCAGATGATGTGAAAAACTGTTGGAGTTTCTCCATCGTTCCATTCCCTGATAGCAAACAACCAGAAATTGATTAAAAGTAGTCATCCCTTTTTATGAAATGACAAAAAGGGAAGTATAGAATTTATTGTCTAAATAAGTTATGTAAACAATGTTAAGGACAGAACAGAAAGCAAATATGAATACCTAACAAGTTGTGAGAAAGATCTAGCATGGCAACTGCTTTGTGGATATGCAGGGCATTCAACAGTGGAGTTATTGATATATCTTGCAAGTCACATTCAGACGCAGTGACTTCATCCTCAATCTGGCAAAGGGACAATAAAGAAAAAAACAAACTATTCAAACCTCATAAGTAAACATTGAAGGGACTATACAGCAACAATATGTACAATGCATGAACATGCTAATTTTGCCTCAGCAACAGGAACATAAGAAGGCCATAGTCATACCTCTGAAACATACAAGTTTTTAAGCAACTTCATATTGGGCATCTCTGATAATTCCTTGCAGCAGTCAATATATAGCTTCATTAAGCGCTTTTGAACCCATCCTGTAAAGATCATATGTTACACATTATATCAGCAGCAGTGGAATGCACATAAGGACAAAACTGAAAGAAGATTTTAGAGTAGGCAAACTTCAATTCTCTTATTTTTCTAGAGACCGGCTTGAGAATGGCCAGGAAGTTTACAGCATTGTCCATATGTTAATGAATAATTATTGAGTAGGCTGCATGTCTGTCAGAAAGAGATCAAATAGATCATGGGTTACAGTTATATAAAGTGCTAAATTCACTTTTGCCAGACAAAAATTTTTTTTTTAAAAAATCTTCTCCATTAACTAAAATTGTGTTCAACTTAGTTCTTTGACTATTTAATCCTTCCCACTGCTTTTAGAAGTTAGAAACATGGCATGGGCAAGGATCAAAAAAGTACACTTTCAAACTGAAGCAGTACAACTGAGGACATGCGATTGCATTACCTAAACTGTAAACTATAGTAAATTAGACTAAAAAAGAAGCTGATCAGTGACCAATATTTGGCAAAATAAAAGAACAGTTACATACCACCAACAGTTACATCAATCAAAACTTTTCCAAGATGATCCTTAAGAGTATCAAAGCTTTCCCAAGATTCTAAAGTTCTTCCACCACATTTCATGAGCTGGATGATTGGCAGCAGACCTAATGAAACACAATTCAAACATTGAGAACCATGCATGAAATTCATGCAAAAAGAACAGAAGGTTGTAGCACAAAATACAACTTAAACCATATGTAACCCTACCCCCACTCCCCACCCCAAAACAATTAAGAAACATGTCATGTTCTATCTTCTATGCGGAAACAAACATATATATCACCACTTTGTCTTATAATACTAGAATTGAATTGTGACAAGTTCTCTTTCAATTTAAATCAGGCTGATTTCCTAATCAATAACTACTCTCCCTTGTCCAGAATTTGATTACTGAAATAAGAAACTTTTTATGTACTGACAGTAAGATCCTACCCTTTGATCTCTTCTCCATGGGAAGCTGCAAATAGTATAAGCAAGCCAGTTCAATCTTCAGGGGCTCAATGCTTAACTTATCACCAACCATATGTGATCCCACATCCACATGTATCAGACAGTCATCTATTTTGAATGTTACGCAGAACTGCAACTAAAAGAATAGATCATGAATTGCTGGAGTATTAATTTGACAACAATCATAATAACTTAATAAATGCCACTACCACTGCCTGTGTCAAACAATATATCATGAGAAACGCATTAATAAAATGAAAGGCACCTTTCAGAACCAAGGCTTCAACTAAGCACAGGGATCTGTAGGAACTATTTTTCGTTATTTGCTAAATTGCTGCATAGACATCCCAACACATTCTTGGAGCCCTGGCCTGGGACAAAGCTATAAGTATCAAGCAGAACTTACCAGATGCAGGAACAGGTCATAGGCATTTAATTCACCACGAATAAGGTTTAAAAAATACATTAGCTGTTATAAATAAATATGCATGTGTGTAACACATCATGCAAACAATACTAATAAACTAGCAAAATCAAATCTCACCACCTAAAATTAGTTATACATGATAAATATAAGAACACTCACATCATTCTCACTATGAGAAGAATGGAACTTCAGATTAACAGCATCATGTTTATGAAGCAAGCTTGCAGACAAAGCGACATCACATTTCAAGCCACTGGAACCAGAACAAGATGCAATGATAACTTCATCAATGTTTGAGGATCTGCTGGCTTTGGCATTTGAAGTGGCTATCCTAGGACTAATTGATTTGAATGAACAAGAACTTTCTTCCACATTGACAGGATTGCAGGACCTGATGGGACTTTTAGACACAGGTGATGCAGCCTGCCAAAGCAAAGAAATTAAGCACCAGCCACCACTTTACAGGCTAAAATTAAATTTTGAGGATTAACCACAGTTGCTTGTTTACCTGAAAGTTACATGTAGGAGTGACTGGACTGGGTTTATTTTTATCTGCAGCAGGTGAAAAATACATCTAACTTCTTAGTCTTAACAGCAGTTAAAAAGCCTGTTTATCGAAGTAGAATAATTTAAAACACCTACATTCATTGGAAGTGCCATCTTCGACCAGCTGCATACAAAGCCTTCCTCTTAGGGATTCATCCTCATCATGACTGTCAGCTTCATCATCTGAAAGGACTAGACGACCACGTTTTCGACTAGTAACTATTTGCTGATTACTAGTTGATCTAGATGAACATTTAGGCAGAACATTACTTTTCCTAGAAATATTGCATTCTTCTACATTAGCAGTTTTGGTCTTGGTTGAACCTTTGGGAGACAGAAGAGAAATCAGAGGGACATCACCAGCATTCAAATCTTGAGGAGCAGCTAAAGATTCTGATATGTTAGAATTCGAGTTACTCCTCTTCCCTGAGAGTGCATTAGGATATGATAAATAATCATCTCCTTCTGTGTCAGTCTCCGAGCAGCAATCCATTGCCACCTCCTTTGCTTCAAGCTTTGCACTATTTGACTCTTTTAAACGATCAATTTTAAGCTGCAAATTCCTACACACCAGAAGCCACTTCAAAGGTTAAACAAATGCATTATGCCCCGATCAAGGTCCAGATATAATAACATATTTACATGATTACATCCGAAGTGGCCAAAATTGAAACCATAAGGCAGAATATTCTGAACATGAGTTTGGTGTTTTTTGTGTTAATTTTTGGAAACTCTAACTTTACTGGTCATAAAGTTAAGGCCAGCAGCTAGACTAGATTTGTAAAGGTGCTCATGTTCCCCAAATTTACCTGGCCTCTTCAAAATTGTCAAATCTTATCATTTGGCTATAGTGCATATTCTCCAGTGCAGAAAGCTCAAGAGAAGGAAGCTCAGCTTCGACTGCAATCCTGCATTAGAAAGAATCAGAATAGTCAAACATAAACACCAAAATCAAGTATAGGCTAAAAGTTTTAATTAGCCATGCAAACTCATAAAAGAACGATCTATTGCTAATAAGGTAGAAAACAACTCCAACGGACCACAGCCACCACCCTTGGGTGGAGCCTTGCCTGGTGCCTGTGGACAAAGTAGATTGCAGGTGCTTGTGGGACTAGTCAGCCAAAGGTCTGGATACCCATGTTATTTGAAAAAAACAGAGGATAATCATAGATACAAACAAGCATGGAAAGCTAATAAGCTGAAGTTCATTCTTTTTTGGTAGAAAAGTTCTGCTAGCACATAATATTGAGAACATTCAATTTATCACTATCAGCCATAAATGCTAACAATTAACAACTAATGGCAAGACAAATCACTCACCCAATGTTGTGAAAGAAATAAAAGATCCATTTTGCAATTGAATTACTTCAAATTATCTTTTTTTTCCCTCAAGTAAATAGATCAAGGTGAAAGTAAGCACTCAAAAATGCAAGGTTTGACTCTGAGATTGGCCTTCATAATGCACTCCTAGAGTCAGGATCAATAAGGTTTCTGGAAGTCACCAATATTATAGTATTCAAACACACTGCATAATTTATTTGCAAATGAATGCCAAGATCAAAGCTTATGAAATGAAATTCAAGAGGCCAATTAATTCATCAGTATTATTGCATGGACATGACTTGTGGACACATTAAATAACAATATAAAGGAGCCATGCTGAATTGCTGTGAAAAGTCATCAACAGGAAATAGTGAGTAGTGATCTTATATTGTTTTTCTTATATACAAGTGATCTTATTTTGCTAACTAAAGGAAAGGTTCTATATCAGGAATTATGCACAATAATAACAGCATGCATTTCAGGATTCCTCAAGTGCCTAAGCACTATAAAGAATAAGGTGGGAAAAATTCAAAATGGGAAAATGACCTGTAGCCCTGTTCAAATGCATCAAATGCAGCTGCCCAGTCACCAGCAGAGTCCAAAACATTTCCTAAATTGATTTTTGTCATTGCTTGACCCTGAAAGAGAATTATGTTAGAGTCAGAATCAACCAACAACAATGTACGTTGACAATCAAGGTCACCTACAAATGAACTGCATAAGAACTAAGCAGGTTTTTAATTTCAATTAATGCTACTTCACCAAACAAGAAAATGTTAACCAAATGTCAACAAATTATTAAACCAAATTACCTCCAAATTTCCAATTGACTTGTATCCTTCCAAGCTCTTTTTGTACCATTTAATGGCTTTGTTGAACTTTCTGAGCTTCTGGTATGATTCTCCAACAGCTAAAAATGCATCACTGAGTTTTTCTTTGTCACAAAGTCTCTTTGCCATTCTCTTCTTCTTTTTTGCAAATTCACAGTGCTAGATATAAATTTCAAAATGTAAGCCACAGATCTTAAACATCATAAGAAAAAAACCAAAACCAATTGCTTCTTACAATAGAGACGTGCAAAAATCTCCTTACCATTCCAAAACCCTCTATTACTGTGCTGTAAACAACTATAAAAATTTCTCTACATCAAAGTTAAGCAAGAGGAGTTGAAATGAAGAATTGTTTGGATGGAACTTTCTCTTCTACTAGAAGATTGGTCGTTTATGCATGAGCCAAGCTATTACTTTCTATTCATCATTCGCTTTATTACTATTAATAAATTAAATTTGTACAATAAAACCAATTAATTAAAAGTATGAATGCACAATAAAATCAGATTATATACTGTTCAAGCAATCTTGGATCACACTCCTTCCACACACCAAAACCACCTTTTTCAGCTCTAAACATTTAATTTTAAAATTTTAATGTCAGCAATTAGTAAAATATCTAAGACTAAGACAATAATAATGTCCACACATACATATGAATGCACAGAACTACGGGACTGATCCACGGTCGAATAGCATCATATCATCAAAGACATTACTAGGTTTGCCAAAGACCAGAAAAAGATGCAAAGTAGAGGGCGATGGGAAATTCATCCATGCTATAGTGATTGGAGAAATGCCCACAATCAGATGCAGTACCAGAAGGAAAAGACTGACAAAACAATGAATATGGCTGACCACTTGGAAGACATAAATACCTAACACTAAGCATGAGAATATATGACAAAGGATATCAGGCAAAGTGCACATGTATTGCACATAAATCAAACCTTCAGCCATGCAGAAATCATCGCTGATTTCTCAATGAGACGATCAAGACATGATTCCTGCTGCAGCAGATACCTCCTCTCAGACTTGTCCTTTGCAGTAACTGTGTTCCTTGATAACTTCTTAAGATTCTGTTCTTCTTTCTTCATCTCCTCCATTACTTTAATAGCTTCTTTTACAGTCATAATATTTTGTTCAATCTGTGCAACTAAGGCATCCTCATCTTCCATGGATTTTGCTAGATGAAGTGCCTTTTGGTAACAAAGGATTGCCTCATCATACCTCTGAACTCTGTAATGCAATTCACCAAGATTGATGTATCCCTTTGCCTCTCCAACACAGTGGTCAATTCTCTTACAAATAAGTATGTCCTTCTCAATATGCTCCCGAGCTTCATTCCACCTCCTCAATTCCATATAGACAGACCCAAGGTTGTTATGAAGCCTAGTGCGTCCATCATCATCCTCACCAACTTCTTCTTCATCGCAAATATTTAAACCTTTAAGCAGGTACTTCTCTGCTAGTTCCAAGTTATCAAGATCCATTTCAAGCATTCCTAAATTATTATGTGCATCAATATATTCTTTGAGGAAAGAAGACTGGTTATCAGGTGGTTTTTCCTTGAGAGTCTGAGCAAGCTTCATAGCGGACCTGAAATACTTTCTGGCATTGTGAATTGAATAATGATCTTCCTCAGATTTTGTAAACATTGTATGGTATGTACGACCGAGCTGCGTGCTCGCTCTTTGCTGCTCAACAAGATCATCAGAATCCTTGGCGAGCTCCAAATGTTTTTTCTGAAAACAGAAATTAATATAAAACCTTTCAACCATTACTAACTTCTGAATCCCAACAGAACAAGTCCCAACAGACGCATTCAGCAATACCAAAATCAAATTCAATTTCTATAATACATTTTCCAAAAATTAAAAATTAAAAAAAAAATCAATTATAATCCTCCCATTCCCCAAACAAAACCCTAGGATTACCTGATAAATAAGAGCGTTCTTGAAGTCCTCCAGCCGGAGATAGACCTCGCCAAGGGACTGGCAAGTAGGAAGTAACTGCTTCTCGGGGAGATACTTGTTGGAAATATCATAATCGACGCGGAACCACTTCAGAGCCTCCACATACTCTCCCCTATTCTTGTGAATATCGCCGATCACGTTGGCCCACCTTGCCTCTTCCTGTCTGTTCCCCTCCTCCTGCGCCTTCCGGAACCCACGCTTCGCCGCCGTTATCTGCACCTCATCTCCGCGAACCATCCTGATTCTTCCTGGAGTTTTGACTCGGCGATTGTTTGTGAAATAAGGATTTTTTTTTTCTTTTCTTTTCTTTTCTTTTTGACAAAATGAATGTCGCGCTTTGAACTTTTGGTGCCAAAGTGAATTTCCCGCCAAATTTTTGATACATGACTGGGCCTAAAACTTAAAGCCCAGCCCCAATTGATTTACATTTTTTTGGGGCAACCCATTTGATTTACTTTGAGCTAAATGACCCAAAGCAAATTGAGGAGATTGGCTCTAGTTTGAATTCGAGCGGTCCAGATGCTGTGGTTGGCAAGCCTTTCGGCTTTTCTGCCGCTTTACATACTCTTCCTTTTTATCTGTCAAATACCAAAGTGTCAATGTTTGACAATATTCTTCATTATATGACCCCTTAGCCTTTTTTTTTTTGCCCCTTTTTTCTTTTCCCCTTTTCTGAAGAATCTTTTTTAGGGGGTTGTTGATAAGCTTGAATTTGCTACAGTGGGCAAAATGGAAATATCTTATTGAGCAAATTTGACTTAACTGCTAGAAGTTTGAAAACTTACGTGCAAGCAAAAGAAAAGCTAGTTAGTGCATGCATTGGAGGTACATGGCTCTAGCATCCATACTTAGATGCTTAAGTTAACAATATTCCAATGGAAGTTGAAGAAGGAGAAAAAATGGAGGAATATGGTATAGAAGAGGGGAAGAAAAATCACCTTCGAGTTGGGAAAGAAGACCCTTTTTTTAGTTTATTTTTCTAGTGAAAACTTGCTAAATATATGTGTCTAATTTATCATGTTCATTAAAAACCTACAAGAAGAGTACAATCACAACTATAACAAACAATAAAGAGCAACCATGTAACTATAAGAATGAAAAATGTCCTTGACGGTTTTTTATGTTGTTGGGCATCTTTACATACATACATGGGTCCCACTATACTTAGTACTTTGTCTTATTATCCAAGTCGAAGGTGCTAGCTATGTCAGAGATCTTAGCTCTACTTAAATCAAGTTAGCTAGGTATGTAGCTTTGTAGGTGAGCTTTCTAGCCATACCTAAATCAAAGTCATGTAATTTCACAGGTCATAGGTAAGATTTTTCAACTAGGTCCCAATAGCCTTAGAAGATTTAATTCAATCAAGGTTTTTTTAAGAAAACTTCTTAGGTCTAACTTGGAGTGCCTTTGGAGATCGGAAAGCTAATCCTAGGACAATATGGAGGAGTAAAAATCTGGCACATGAATAGAATATTTTACGTACATCAATTATCGTATATGCTTTTTTTTAAATAAAATAAAAATATTAACAATTTATCAATTAATAGTTACAAATTTTTAAACCCTGATCTATTGCCATGTCAATCAACAGTTATTGAGCAAGAGATCTCTAAAAATTTGTTTTGTGAATATATACATCATGTACATCACCCTCGAATGTTACACTTAACATATGCATATATATATATATATAACTCGTGTATCTAGACAGGACTTATAAAATAATTTATTCAATAATTCAGGCAACTAAGATTCCATGGTGGTTTAGTTAATAGTAGCTGATAGCTAGTTAATCTTAATATTGGTTGATAGTTGCTATATATCTATAATTAATACACTGTTTTATTCATCCAATTAGAAATGTCCCTTAACAATTAATTTATCTAAACATCACCTTAAAGTTTTAACATTCAATCACAATTATCACACTTGCTTTCTGTTATGCATGTTAATTGCATGTCACATTTGCCTTCGTCTTTACCCCTCAATAGACACATATGCCTAATTGTTGAGAACTCGTTGACCTTCCAAATCTTGAATTCTTCATGTATAAACTGTTAGATGAGCCGCCTGCATAATTTCCTTATGAACAACGTGATTGTGTACGTGGATATACATTGATTTTCATCATTTGTCCTATTCCAATCTTTCTTTTTTGCTCGTCCATATTGTCCTAGGATTAGCTTTCCGACCTCCCAACAATATATATTTATCTTCCGGCTTGTGCAGCTGGCCCTTCAAAAAGATCATACATAGCAACCATATTTTACACAAGGAAAATGATTAGTAGTTAAATTCTTCAAGTCAACACACTTGTTAGTACTCATTGATTCAACTATTAAAATATGCAATTTCAAGTTTTTTTTGTCTTTAATTTAATTTTGAAAATAATAATTTTTTAGTCAATGTATTATTAAATGTGTTGAATTGATTGATATAACAATTATTATCATTTACACAATCACTACTACTACTAGTACTAGTTAGAAACAATCCTCAAAGGGGTAATTTAACTGGTTAAAAGTTTAAAATTTTAAATTAAAGATCTTGGATTTTTAAATCTTGAGTCGAGTGAAAAGAAATTAAGAAAGAAAAGAAATTAAGAAAAAAAATAGTTATTATCTCTTATATAATTTATTACTAAATATACCAAAAAAATTCATACTCAAAAAGATATATATTGATTGTATATATTAAAGCATCCAACAGCTTGCATCAATATTTGCCAAAGCATCAAAACAACTTTTGGACCACCTAGGTTTACATCACCAATAATTCAAAATCTTAAAGCAGTGAGTATGCTATAATTAGACCGAGTTCAATGATTTTTTAACTTCAATTTAGCTAATTCTTTGAACAGTTTTAATTCAATTAACACAACTTTATTATAGAGTTGGTATTTTGTAATTTCAACCACAAAACATCAGCTATTGAATGAAGAGTCTCTCTTAATATCATAAAATTCTTCTCAATTCAATAATAATATTTTACAATCAAATGTAATCCAAACTACAAATACATTTTTTCAACTTTATTATGTTATTTTTCTTCTCGCAGATCTTTTTGAGTGCCAGATGTATTTTCAACACAATGATAGTGATGAAAAGAGAAATTAGATGAAACGTTACATCTTCATGCCTACTTTAAACTATTCACCCATTTCTTTTACTTAAATTGTAAGTTGGTGTCATCCCACTAGTCAAAAATTGTGCAAAAAAGAAAGACTATACGTTTTTATGAGAGAGACGCGATTGACATCCCAAAGTAATTATTATTGGTTCCAATTTTAGAATGAAATCGACGTTAGACTCAAAAACTAATTGCATATCAATTCACAGATGCCTGTGTGAACTGGAATAGTAATACTCTTTCTGCTTTATTGGGCTGGCCGTGGCCTTAATTCCGACCTGCATGCATGCAAAATGGGGCCTCTATGAACTGATATGTCATATGTGCAACTCGACGTTTGAGTTATCACCATCCTGCTTTTTGTTTCCGTCTAAAGTCGTTCCGTTGCCATCAATTCCCTTTTTTTTTCCCCTCTTTGTTCTTTGGCAAAAACGCTTCTTAAGCCCCTCAACTTTTTTGACAGCAAGTAACAAACCCCTGAACTAAAAAAGTGGCAAATAAGCCCTCCAACCCCACGGTGGGTGCAAATCAGCCC